ATTATTATATTAGTTTTTATCTTTATATGTGGCCCTCTGATGGACTGAAGGAATGTCCAGAGTGTACTGTACCTTGGCTTGATGACTGTTGGGATGGGCCAGCACCCTCCTCCACCCTCCTCCTCTCCTCCACCCCCCTCCTCCACCCTCCCAATCCCCTGTGAAAAGGATCAATAGAAGATGAAGGAATTCTGTTTTCGTCCTACATTTTTACGGCTGTTGTTGTACGACAACAAAGGGCGTCAGGTCCACCTGAACCTGTAACAAAGAGATGAGGTCAACTCATATGACAGTTAATGTGACACAGGTTCTGCAGAAACGGCCCCTTTAATCTGTGCAGGTGCCGGAGTGGAACTGCAGAACAAAACAAACACCAGACACGGGGTTTGTTGTGGTCTTTACAGAACGTCCAGATCTCAGTTTGTGGTTCATTCATTAAGTCAGAGAAATCCATTAAAAAGGTTCGTCTGTTTGACAGACCAGGTGGTTCATCCATGGAAACATTTGTCTGGGACCTAACGGAAACTTCACGTTTGTTTATTCACACACCTTCCTCTGTTAGCTGCCAAATCTGGCCCATGAGAAAATATTAAATATGTATTAGAGCTGGACCACCATCTCAATAATAAATATAATAATACAATTAATTTATGCAATTCATTTTAAACACAATTTACCAGTAGATTAAAATCCATCGATTCAATGAGGCCAAATTTCTCCTTTCTGTCATGTGACACAGGTGTCTCTTATAAACCTCTACCTGCTGTTATTGGTCGTTCTGTTCCAGCAAACACAGCTACATGACATTTGTAGGAATGTTGACATATCTCATGATTAGAGACCAATGATTAATCGCGATTAATTGTGATGAATTACAATCACGATTCATCGCAATTTTTTTCAATTATTACGCAGCTACACAGTTTTTCAACCAGTTGACAGCTCTATAAATATTTTTAATTGATATGCTGCGCAGTCTTGTCATTAATTAGTTATTTAATTATTGTTATGGTAATTAGCAGTTGAGGAGAAATTGTAAAGATGAGAGAAAAGACTGGAGGACGTAGATCTCGGGAAGACGACGGGGTCAGGACGCTGCAAAACAGCAGATGTTTACCACCAACCCAGCTGCTCTCTCTCTCTCTCTCTCTCTCTCCCTCTGTCCCTCTCTCCCTCACTCTCTCACTTCTTTCACTCGTCTCCCTCCAACACGTCCTCCCTGTAATCATGCACCCTCAGTTTTTCGACATCTTTGAAGTGAGTGGAATCTGTCCAACCGTCTCGTGTCTTCTCTGACGGACAGAGGACAGCAGATGAAGCTGTGGGTTAATCATTGTCTGGTATGTGTGTGTGTGTGTGTGTGTTTATGGATGCACTTGTATGTGTGTGTCTGTCATGTCTATGCAACTGTGTGTGTGTGTGTGTCTTTGAGCACCTGAAATGGAATGAAATGGTAAACAGAAACAGCAGGTGACCGATGATAACCGGTGTCTACAGTTGTGTGTGTGTGTGTGTGTGTGTGTGTGTGTGCTTCTGGTACAGCCATACTTGTGAAGACACTTGAAGAGGACATTTATGTCTTTTCTGAGGACATTTTGCAGATGTCCATTGAATAAAAGGGTTAAATATTTAGTTTGGAGTTGGGACTGACTATAGAGTTACAGACGTACAGTATATCTGTAACAGTTAGGGTAAAGAAGAGGGGCTGCAAAAATCAGTGTGTTTTGTGTGTCTGTCTGTGTGTACATGTGTGTGTTTACACACACATACCTCCACAGTAACAAGAGGATGGAATTTGGCTCATCATGACTTCAAAGCACAGACATGAGCAGACATGCCTCTGTCTCCCTTGCTCTCTGTATGTCAACCTCACCCCCCCCCCCACCTCCTCACCCTCCTTCCTTAGGATCCTGCAGTGCGGCTGATTAGCGTGACAACATTTCCATCTGGCTGCACCCTCACCTTTCATACGATGTCTCTAAGTGTGTTTGAACACGGGGTTAAAAGGTCAAACATTTCGAGGTCAAAATCTGGTTTGACCAAAACTCAGACTGTCTGAAGCTGCTCAGCAAAACTCCAGCAGAGGGCGCAATAAACAGGACTAAATGTGGAATTTGTGTCCAGTGTAATGGAAACAGTTTGCTGTTAGCAAGCAAGGATGTCGCCAGAAATGTTGCCCGTGATTTTCTTAGGG